CTTACTGATATGAATAGGAAACAAGGGAAAGTCATGTCAAAAGTCCATGCAATTTTTGGGAACTTTTTTCATATAACTTTAACAGTGAGATGTATTCTCCTACTTAAAACTCTTTAACTTCTCCATAATAAGGACTATGTAGGCTAATTGGTTTGCTTTCCTCATTTCATGTTTGTCATTTGTCTAGGGTGACTTTTTCTCTGCTTTCATCTGTTCTAATAACTTGATATTGTACAAAGTGTTGGATAGGCAAGATGAGGCTAGAATATGAAGGGTTTGTTCTCATCTGATTCTACTTATCTTTCTAGACTTGTAGAATATGCCTAAATTTTACCTTCTTCTCTGGAACATTCCTGGACTATCCAGCACTTACCTCCTTTGAATTCCTGTGACTCTTAATTTGTATCATGGGGTTTTAATATTTTTACATAAATATGGTATTGTTTTATGTGTTTTAATTTAATCTCTCCACTAGATTGCAGATTTCTTGAGGAGGAATCTTTAAAAAAAAAACATTTTGCACTGTTTTAAGCACAAATAGATATTTAGCATTTGTTTGTTGACCAAGAGAATCAGATGGTTACAGTCACTGGTGTCTTTATATGATGTATTGCTTTTTAAAGTCAATGGGTACTTCTTATTTAGTTTTGTTTTAAGATATACAGTTGGCCCTATGTATTCCGTGGGTTTCACATCTGTAGATAAGGTGGGCCGACTGTATTCATTGTATTGCACCATTTAATAAAAGGGACTTGAGCATCTGTGGATTTCGGTATCTATGGGGGCTTCTGGAACCAAGTCCCCGCAGGTACGGAGGGATGACGATACCTTTTAAATTTTATTTCCATGTCTTCATTTGAATGTTTAAATGACATGTGGCTCATATCGCAAACTCCTAATTTGCAAGTTTATAGGAATGTGACTGAAGATTACAATTAATAGGTCCAAGAGAACTGCACTGCATGGCAGTTTTACATGTGTTAGAAGAATTTATTAGAAGATAGACAATTGTAAGTTGCACTGGAATTTAGAAGATTTTTGCTCATCATCTATATTTCTGTCAGTTTGAAGGTTTGAAGATGCACCGAGGACCTATACTTTTCACCAGTGCCTTTTTCGATCCTGGCAGTGAAAAGCTAAGTGAAAGGGTAGACTTTTCTGTTTACCTTAGTATTCTGGGTCCCTATACTTGAATAATAGATGTTTATGGATTTCCCTATCCAAGTGAAAACATTACAAGTGGATTTTTCAGCCTTTCCAAATTTTCTCATTTATTAAGTCCTTCACAATTATTTCCTAATAGTTAGAAAAAAACTTTTTTTTTTAACTTACGCCATAGCTAATTTGACATTTGCATTTCTGTACAACCCTTTCTAAAAACTGTGTGTTTATTTCTAATATTAACAAATAAAATATACTTTTCTCATACATATGAGAGGGAAAGAAAAATTGCACTAAATTATGACATCTGATTGTAATAGGAATATAGCTTTATGATCAGTATTGTATTTTCAACTGTATGTCTTAGCATTGTTGTAAGGTACTTCTGAAATATTTTGTGTAAATTTTTGTCTGACCTTCACAGACTCAGGTATTACATAATTTTGTTTTTTTTCCCCGGCTTCAGTAATTTATTATTACTATGGTATCTATATAGTATATGAAATTTACTCTTTGAACCATTTGAAAAGTAATTAATTGGCATTAAGTACATTCATAATGTGCAACCATCACTAGTATTTATTTTCAGAACTTGGTCATCATCCCAGACAGAAACTCTGTAATTATTAAATAATAACTCCTGATTTCCCCCACCCTCAGTCTCTGGTAACCTCTATTTTACTTTCTGTTTTTGAATTTGCTTATTCTAGGTATCTCATGTAAGTGGAATCACGCAGTATTTATCCTTTTATGTCTTATTTCACTTAGCATAATGTTTTCAAGGTTCATCCGTGTTGTAGCATATAGCAGATTTCATTCCTTTTTATGGCTGAATAATAATATATATACTACATTTTGTTTATTCATTTATCTGTTGATGGACATTTGGATTGTGTCCACGTTTTTGCTATTGTGAATAATGTTGCTGTGAACATTTGGTGTACAAAGATCTTTTGAGTCCCTGCTTTCAGTTCTTTTGCATATATATCTAGGAGTGGAATTGCTGAGTCAAATGGTAACTTGATGTTTAACAGTTTGAGGAACTGCCAAACTGTACCCAAGTGGCTACACTATTTTACACCCCTGCCAGGAATGTGTAAGGGTCACAGTTTTTCCACATCCTGGGCTACACTTGTTATCTGTCTTTCTTATTTTAGCCATCATGGTGGATATGAAGTAGTATCTCCTTGTAGTTTTGATTTCTATTTCCTTAATGACTAATGATGTGTTGAGCATCTTTTCCTGTGCTCCGTCATTCGTTTATCTTCTTTACTCATTTTTGAATTGGGTTGTTTGCTTTTTTGTTGTTGAGTTGTAGGAGTTCTTTATATATTCTAGATATTAATCCCTTATTGGGTATATGATTTGCAAATATTTTCTCCCTTTGTGAGGGATGCTTTTCATGCTCTTGATAATGTCTTTTGGTGCTCAAAAGTTTTTAATTTTGATGATGTCAGGTATTTAGTTTTGAATGTAAATAATGTTATAGATTGTGCAGAGGATACAACCACAAACCCCTGAAAGATTGACTCCACAGCTGTAGGAAACCAGTGTAGAAAGAACTCTACTCACTGTAACCAAAAAAATCTCCCCAAATAAAGAGAATCCTTTGGCAGTAAATAATCTACATAGCCTGTGGATAAATTAAAAGCAAACAATGCCCATAAAAGCAGTCCTGCCTGTAATGAAAGCACTGGAAAGCCAACTTCATTATCAAATTTAGCCAGGGTGGAAAATTGGGATATTCATTGAGGAACATCAAAAAGGTCAAGTCTCCATCATTGCAAACATGTACACAAATGATAACAGGTAGTCTTTTCCCTAAGAGTAAGAGTGCCGTGTGTCTTTATGAATTCTAAAATTTAACCTTTGTTAATTAACCCCATTGGTGTGGAGGCCTATGGTGTGAGTGACATATGCTGCTGGAGTAGAGACCATTTTATCGTTAAGATGGTACTTAGTGATACAAATGACATTTTTATGTTTTAAAATCTTTTGTTTTCGTAGGCACTTTTAAAGAAGGGTTTGTTTTAACTTTCTCTCTGGAGGGAGGTTTCTCAAAAGTTATATCTTAATGGACATATAGAGATTAATATGTAAGTAATACTGAGTAATTAATACTTGCTCTAAGAGGTTTCTTTTTAGCTATGTAACCCCTCAGACGTAGTCCTTTACATACCAAAATTTTATTATAGCAGTGTTCTTTGTGTGATTTTATTAGAGGTTGTCAGCCATTTATCTAATAATTCTTTTTATCTCTTGGCAGTGGCTTTTTATAACTTAATATATTGGAGAAAACTTATATTCTAGATTGAAGTCTTATATTCTGTGTTAGTCTGAAAATTTTTTTCCGGATTTTGAATATTGTTTAAATGCATGGCTTTAATCAGTTATTAATGCTTTAATGTTGCATTAAACATTAATGTCATTATTGGCATATTATAACAATACAGTTACACTAACATACTCCAAGGAAGACATTAAATTTTCTCCATTTTTAAAAAATTGTTACTTTTTATAAAATTAAAAATCAAAGTATAATTGGCAAAAAAAAATTGAGTAATAGCAAAAATGCAATGCATGTCTGACTTAATGCTTTTTGATTACATATTTTGGAGGATATGAATTATCCTTTCTTACCAAATTAGTTGAGAAGTTAAAGATTTGTTTGAAAATTTTAAATGACAGGTCAAAATTAGTATTTACTTTTTTCACTTTCCTTCTGCTATCATTTTGTGCTTAGAATTCGCATCTCAACTCTTATTGGCACGTTAGACTTATTTCTGCAGCTTTCTGTCAGATAGCCTCTATCAGAGTTGATAAGGGTAATCATAACTCTGGCCTTATCCGTGGGATGTACTCAGCTCTACTGCATTTAAAATAGGAAAAGGAAAAACAGTATTAACCAGAGAGATAATTTAGTATGTGTTTTTCATCTACTTCATGGTCGGGTCTGTGTGTTTGGTCCTAGACTGTACATTCTGGCATTGTGCTATATAATTTTTGGTACGTTATAGATATTTCTTTAAATGCTCAGTAATACTGTTTGTTTAGTACACTGTAATTTAAATGATCAGAATTAGTGTTTTATTTCTTTGTAAAAAACCTATCAAGAGTAGTTTGAAACTTGCCTTCTTGTTGTATAACTTAAAATATGCAGTGGGCATCTTTCTTTGGTGAATTGTCACATTTCTTTCTGAGTATGGATTAACTTCCAACATTTTCCCTTTTGTGCTTTCAGTGTTACCTTTGAGAATTCCTTAAAAGTTTTTTTGTTTTGTCTTGTTTTGTTTTTTGCCAGTGCTGCTTCCTCTGGGATATCTTCCTCCTTTTCATCACAACTACTTTCCTCATTTACCTTTCACTAAGTTGGAATAAATAAATGAATGATTACTTATTAAATGCCTGCGTACTGTTCTAGGCTCTATGCTGAATGCTAGGCATACCAGGACAAATAAGACATATTACTACGCTCAAGGAGCTTATTATTCATATAAGGTAGAGCAGGGTCATGAAGGTGAGAGGAGTTTGGTGATGAAAGGAAAGAAGGGGTGATGTTTTAACCAAGTCATAAAAGAGCATTTGGTGTTCAGGTGGCATTGTAAAAAGTAAGGTGGTATCTATAGATAAGAAGAGAGCATTGTAAGCAAAGGCAAACAGGAATGTCACCTGACAGCCAGTAGCCCTTCTGTAAAATTTGTTGAAAAATTATAAAAGCAACACAATAATACTACTGACAGATTGGAAAAGGGAGAGAATTCCACGGATGATCCTGTCACCTAACATAGCTAATTATTTGCTTTTACTCTTTTTTCTAATAAATGTTTTATGTTGTTTTTTTCTGAGATGCCAATTGTTATCAGTGTCATACATACATATAGTTTAAAGTGTTAACTTGTTTGTTTAAGATTTGTTGAATAACAAGCAGTTGCCTAATCTTCCTTGGTATTTTCTCCTTCCCAGAAGAGACTGTCTTATATTCTAGGCATTATCTGTTGACTTCCCACTTCTGAGCATGCAAATTTAGCTTTCTTCCCCCTACCCTTCACCCTTAGTCACTTCCCCTTCCTCTCTATTACTTCATCCTACCACTACAGTTATATGGTAATTTTGCTTACATGAATATTCAGTGTTTACCTTATGACACCTTGTGTACCGGACCAAGTTGTATAGTAAGCTGTGATCACTTTTCTAGCACAACTTTTTGTCTTCCCTAGAGCTAACTGTGGTTTTATCTGTGTTTGGTATTCTAAGTATTTATCACTAATTCAACCCTACACTAGCCTCTTAAGATTATCAGATGTCAGTTTCTTCTCATGTTTTCATGTAGCCTTCAGTCTGACTTCAAACTAGACTGGTGACTCTTTGAACCTGGTCCACAGCTACAATCCTGGGAACTCCCTTCACCCTTATCCCGGGAATTCTCTGCTGCTAGATCTTTGTTATCTCTAATCCCATATCTTCTACTTTCTGGATTTTTTTTTTTTCTTGTTTTGGTGGATGACTTCCTCCAGGAACTTTTTGAGAAAGAGTTTATATGAGATAAATTATTGACATTTGTTAAATCTGAAAATATCTTAAATCTGAGATCATACTTGACTGAACATTTATCTGAGTTAGAGTTCTAAGTTAAAAATCATTTTTCTTCAGAATCTTGAAAAAGTGTTGCTTCATTTTTAGCCTGGTTTCCCTTTGTTCTTGAGGTATCCAACGCATTCTAATTCTTGGAGCATTGTGTTTGTTTACAGGATTTGCCTACAGGATTTTTATCCTCAGTGTTCTGAAATTTCACACTGATGTCCTGTATGGCCCTGTTTTCACCTATTTGCTACTAAAAATGGGCTCCTTTAATTTGAAGGCTGATGTCCTTCAGTTTGGGGAAATTAAAAAAAATTGTCTCAGAGATGATTTCCTCTCTTAGATTTTCATTCTTCTTGTAACTCTTATAATTTTGATATTGCACCTCCTGGGCTGATCCTCTCAATTTCTTCCCGTTTTCCATCTTTGTCTTTTTACTACCTTTTGGGAGATTTCTTTAAACTTTTACATTCTTTCAAATGATCTTTATCTTTCTGCTCTCATTTTTTAAATTTTAAGAGCTCTTAATTTTTTTATTGAAAAATTTCATGTGATGTATTTACATGTGGTAAAATGCACAAATCTTAAGTGTACACTTCAGTGAGTTTAAAAAAAATCCGCTCATATAACCTCCTACCCTCCTATCAAGGTATAGATCTAAAGTGTTTAGTTCAGTGAATTCTGGCAAATGCTTTATACTTCTATTATCACCCAATTCAAGATAAAGAATGTTTCTATCACTCCAGAAAGATCTTTCATGCCTCTTTCAAATCAATCATCCCAACCCACCAGAGACAACCACTTTTCTGATTTCTATTGCCATGTATTAGTTTTGTTTGTTTTTGTACTTAATATAAATGGAATTGTGTCTGGCTTTTTTTGTTTTGTGTCTGGCTTTTTTTGTTTTGATGTCAGAGAGATGTGATATTCATCCCTGTTGTTGCTGAGTAGTAGTCTGCTGTATGAATTTAACATAATTATTTATCTGTTCAGTTGGACATTTGAGTTTCTTGGTTTTGGCTATGATGAGTAAAACTACTATAAACATTTTTCTACAAGTCTTTCTGGACATACGCTTTCATATATCTTACATACCTAGGTGTGGAGTGGAATGGTTGAGACATAGAGTAGGTATATGTTTAGCTTAATTAGAAAGCATCAAATAGTTTTCCAAAGTGATTATATAATTCTTTTACTTTCCTCAGTTTCAGTTGTTCTGCCTCCTTACCAGTGCTTCATACTGTGAGTCTTACATTTTAGACATCCAGGTTAGTGGGAAGTAGTATCTAATGTGGTTTTAATTTGTATTTCCTTAATGACTAATAATGCATACTTGTGCATGTTGGCCATTTGTATGTCCCTTAAGAGCCCTTTTTTGTTCTATGAATTTTAATAGTATCTTGTTCTTTTTTTCCCCCTATCTTTTTGATATCTTATCTCTTTGAGGATATTAATGGTACTTTTTTAAGGGATTTTTTTCCCTCCCTCTATAGACTGCTCAAGTTTTTTCTCCTATTTTTTGCTTCTTTCATATTAGAGGCATTTTGCAGATGCCTGATAATCTTGTTTCTCTGCTCATAATGCTGATTAGAAGTTCTGTGTTAGTGGGGCTTGTTGCTGAGCATTTTCATTGTGGAACCTTCTAACCCCACACCCAAGTCAGTATATTTTGGTCTTTAATCAGAGAAGTCCCTTCTGGTCTTCTGTCTGGAGGGTAAAGTTCTGACTGCCAGACTCTGGAAATTCAGAGGAGGAAGAGGGGAGGTGTCTCTACATTCTCATTCATGTATTTATTTAATACCCCTGTTTTTAGAATGCCTTAACTAACCTCGTTTATGTCTGGTGTCCAGAGAGAGATTTTCTGGTGTCCAGAGAAGTGTTTCATGTCTTCTAGACAATAAACTTCTAGTCTTTTGACATGGTTAGGGAGGCTTGGTGACCAGGCTGTGTGGTAGGGAGTTGGGGAGCTCTGGAATGTCACTGCTTCTCAAATAGCTTCTAGCCAATAGCACAACTGCCTTCTTTACCCCAACTCTTCCATGCCTTCTGGAGGTACCCTGGTCCCACTAATTCTGAGCCTTTGTAGGATTCTGCCATATACAGAATTCATCTTTTCTCTTGTCAACTTAGGGATTCAACTCTGTTACATCTACTGAGTCCTTTAATGTGTGTTCATCTGCTTTATAGTTTCCAAAATTTTCTTAGTTTTATCTTCTAGCCTGATTTCCTTGTCTTTGGGTTTATGCATTCAAAGAAGAAAACAGTCCCTTTACTGAGTTTTAGTGGGCTTTAAGAAGGGAGTGAAATTAAATGTTTCAATCCAGTGTTCTTTTATCAGAACTCTGTATTTTTTGTCACATAGTATATCATGTCTTATTTTTTTCGAATTATTATATTTTCATAATTATAATTTTTCTTGGTTGCTTAATATTCTACTGCCTGGATTGTCCATAATTTACTGTTGTCTTATTACTAGATTTTTTGAAGTTTCTTCTAGTTTTTCACTTACTACATTATGCTGAAGTGAACATCTTCATTTATTTAAGATTCCCCCATTTTTGGATTATTTCCTTAGAATAGGTTTCCAGAAATGTAACATCTTTTGATGGAAATCATTTTCTGAAAGTGATATATGAGTGTTGATTTTATTAAACACCTATGAGAATTTGGTATTGTAATTTGCCAAAAAATCATTTGTTTATTGACTAGTCTAAAATGGCATCTTGTTTCGTATATTTTGGATTTTTTTGTCTATTTTTTGTTTAATTTTGTTTTCTTTTGGGGGGGAGGTAATTAAACTTATTTATTTCTTATTGTAGGTACTGAGGATTGAACCCAGGACCTCTTGCATGCCAAGCATGTACTCTACCACTGAGCCACACCCTCCCCCAATTTGTATTTTTTGGATTAATTGTCAAGGTAGAACAGTTCTCGACATTTTTGTTAGTTGAATTTTTTATTATCTTTTTGTCTTTTGTTATCAACATTTTTAGTTTTTTAAAACTTTTAAAAATCAATTTGTAGAGCTTTTTATAATAAATGCCTTAGATGTTAACCATCTGACAGATTTGCTACAAATATTTTCTCCAGTTGGTTTACCATTTTATTGATTTTTTTTTTTTTGCTATTGTTTTTAACGTGCATGAGTTTAAAATTTGCACATAGTCAAATCTGCCAACAGTGTTTTGTATCACTTTGGAAGTTTCATGTTTTTACTCTAACAGATGCCTGAAAAATAATTGACTCTAATTTATGATTGTATTTTTAGCATTGAACTTAAAAAATTCACCTGAAATTTACTTTAGAGGGTGGTAAAAATTAGGATCTAAATGTATGTGTTTTTTGTTTTGTTTTGTTTTAAAGCTGCTAAGCAGCTAACCCACTATCAGCCAGGGAATCATTTCTGTTCTTATTTCTTTAAAATATTTAAAAAAGGAGTATGTGTAATAACTCCTATTTTGCCTCATGTATTCTGTTCTAATTATTCCTCCGTATAGTCTTGCATCAGAAACTTGCATATTCTCTCAGAGACTTGGATTGCATCATATGTAATCTAGACTTCCTTATTTTAAATTATTTTGTTCTGCTTTGGTTGTTTTGGAAGTGTTTGTACACTGTTGTTTTTATGTAATAAAACTTCAGAATGTTGCCATCTTGAGGTTGCTTATAAAACCATGTATGGTTGTCAGGAAATTGCTAACAACTATGAAGTCCTTATTGTATACAATAGGGAAAATAAACTTCTAGACCTATGTTTATTTTTTTGATGGCCAGATTCAATTCTTGGTTTTAACTGTTTGTTTTGTTTTATTTTTGTTTTTTAACTAAGACCTCAGTTTAAAATGTATCTTCTCTTTAGCTTTTTTTTTTTAGTCCTTATAATGGCCGTACAACTAGTAGCCTTATTTCTTTTGAATCAGTGCTTTTTGGTGAAAGGTTTTCGTCTAGCAGCAAAGCTCTTTTAAGTCTTTATATCAGGATTTCTTGTTAACTGTGAAGAATAGAACTTGATTTCTATAAAGTAAAAACAAAAAAAAATCCCCTATATAAAGGAATGAAAAGCAATCTAATGCTTATATAACTCACAAGTTTTTAAAAATTTTACATTAAAATAAATAAACAGCAAGTAGAACACTATCCTGTACCATGAAATGCTTCATTGTCTCTAAATACTGTATTTTTCTTGCAGCAGGAAGGATGAAATTGTGTTTTATGAAACAGGATGAACTTGGTTAGGTGGAATTTTTACTTGCATTTTCTTTTTATTTATTTGTTGATTTGTTTATTGTATTTTAGCTTATATGATTCTTTGAGGTATATAGATTTCTTTAATTTTAATTTTAATTTATTTTTATTTTTTAATTCTACCCCTATATTGCCCCTCCTTTCTTCCTTCTCCCCATTGGTAACAACTATATATCTCTATATCTAAGTTTGCTTCTTTTTTATTTTATTCACCAGTTTGTTGTATTTTTTAGATTTCACATATAAGAAATATCATACAGTGTTTGTCTTTGACATTTTTCACTTAGCATAATGCCTTCCAAGTCCATCCATGTTGCTGCAGATGGCAGTTTCATTCTTTTTTATGGCTGAGTAGTATTCCATTGTGTATGTATATGTGTGTGTGTATGTATGTGTGTGTGTATGTGTATGTATACCACATCTTCTTTATCCGTTCATCTGTTGATGGATGCTTAGGTTGCTTCCATACTTTGGCAATTATATATAATTGCTGTGAATGTTGGAGTGCATGTATCTTTTTGAATTAGTGTTTTTGTTTTTTTCAGATATATACCCAGGAGTGGAATCGTTTTGTCATACGGTGTTTCTATTTTTAGTTTTTTGAGAAATCTCCTTACTGTTTTCCACAGTGGCTGCACCAATTTACACTCCCATTAACAATATAGGAGAGTTCCCTTTTTCCATATTCTCAACAGCACTTGTTATTTGTGTTCTTTTTGATGATAGCCATTTTGACAGGCATGAGGTGATCTCATTGTAGGTTTTTTTTTTTAAGTTTTAATATATTTTTATTGAAGTACAGTCAGTTTACAATGTTGTGTCAATTTCTGCTGTACAGCACAGTACTTCAGTCATATAGGACTATACATATATTCGTTGTCATATTCTTTTTCACCGTAAGTTACTACAAGATATTGAATATGGTTCCCTGTGTTATACAATATAAACTTGTTTATCTATTTTATATATATATTAGTTAGTATCTGCCAATCTCAAACTCCCAGTTTGTCCCTTCCCACCCCCTTCTCCCCCAGTAACCATAAATTTGTGTTCTATGTCTGTGAGTCTGTTTCTGTTTTGTAAATAAGTTTGCCTTTTTTTTAAATTGGATTCCACTTGTAAGTGATATCATGTGGTATTTTTCTTTCTCTTTCTGGCTTACTTCACTTAGAATGACATTCTCCAGGTTCATCCATGTTGCTGCAAATGACATTATTTTATTATTTTTTTATGGCTGAGTGGTATTCTATTGTATAAATATACCACAACTTCTTTATCCAGTCAATCTGTCAATGGATATTTAGGTTGTTTTCATGTCTTGGCTATTGTAAATAGAGCTGCTATGAACACTGGGATGCATGTGTCTTTTTGAATTGAGGTTCCCTCTGGTTATATGCCCAGGAGTGGGATTGCTGGATCATATGGTAAGTCTGTTTTTAGTTTTTTGAGGAATCTCCATGCTGTTTTCCATAACGATTGCACCAAACTACATTCCCACCAACAGTGTAGGAGGGGTCCCTTTTCTCCACACCTTCTCCAGCATTTATTGTTTGTGGACTTTTGAATGATGGCCATTCTGACTGGTGTGAGGTGATTCCTCGTTGTGGTTTTTGATTTGCACTTTACATGGGTTTCTTTTAAAAAGTGGGCTCAAGATTCTTAACCGCTTTAATAATAGCAGTGTGTTTCTGTTTCTAGGAGAGAAGCAACACCACAATTTTCAACAATAGACTTAAATTAGAATATTTTTAGAATTATAGAAGTTGAGAATCAATAGCAGACTCTTACCAAATCTAACTAAATCATATTTTTCCTAGAAGTACAATGCACTATTCATTTCAGTTTTAAATGTCAGAGTACTAAAACTATTATTATTACTATATGAATTAATCTCATGTCATTTTGAAGCCTATACCCTTTGCAGAAGTTTGGGTTCTCTTTTTGGTAGTTTTGTTCTAGTTTTTCTCTCTTATATTTATTCTGTGGCATTATTTTTGATATTTTAATAAAATTATATTTGTAAAAATGCCTTCTCTGAATGAATCCTTTTAGTAATTACTTTATTTCATGACATCTTAATAACCAGTACCATTAAGTCACAGTGTAGAGTAATGAAAAAAGTAATAAAATTTTTGTGTATAACTAGGACAGGAATTACTTGGGGAAATATTGAGTGAATGATTACAGGGAAGGTAATTCTTTAGTTACAGATTAATTGTCTTGCAAGTTAAATTCAACTAACTAAAATGCAGTCATTTTAAAAGAAATAAACTCATTTATAAAACTGAATAGTTAAAGCTTAGTTGACAAGGAAAACTGGAAAAAAATAAACATTTTCTTCATTTAAACAAAAGTAACTTTAACTTACTGAAGTAACTTTCTTTTCAGTTTTCTTAAGCCATAAACTGGTAGTGCTGTTACTACTCCACCTGAATGTTTAATAGAACAGTAATGACCCCCCCGCCCCATACTTGTGGGTAAACTGTTAGTATTCCGCTATTTATGTCAATAGTTTTATATTAGTACTTGTCTGCAAGTTGTGATTGAGAGTTTAGGATAGGAAGAGTATATATCATTGCTATTAGGAAGTCTGAGGTCAGAGAACTAGTAAGGGACAATATTTAAAATACTCATGAAAATTAAGTATCTGTGGTACATGAATCCTTTCTACAAAATTTGAAGTTGTTAGATTTTATTAGAACTTTGATTTTAAAATTTCAGATTAAAACATTTGTCATTACCAGGTTGGTGTGCACCTTCTTATCATAAAGCATGGGTAAACAACTGTTGGGAAAATATAAAAAGGAGCTCAGTTTGACATTGTAAATGTGTGGATTTCTTTAAAGAATTCTGAATTGTCTACACCTGACTCATCCATTTATATAATTTTTTTCAGAATTGCTTTTGGTATCAGAAGGGATAACATGAAATTTTGTCAGATGTTACATTTTGTTACCATCAACAGTACTGAAAGTGACATTTTTTCCTGTCACTTGTTAGGTGTAGTGGTTGCCAAGGCATCAGTTTATTGTCAACAGTATTTCTTCCTAAATGACAGCAGTACTGAGACTAGAGAGACTATATATGTTCTTTTTCACCAGTTTGCCAGGAAGGATGTTAAAAAAAAGTTATTTCCACTCTGTATGGGAAGTAGGAGAACATTTCACTAATATGTTTTCTTCTGACTAATAAATTGTTTTTTTATTTCCCAATTTCATTATTTTGTTCTTTTTTATTTGAAGTATAGCTGGTTTACAGTGTTGTGAATTTGTTCTAAGGTTTTTTTTGTTGCTTTTTTATAGTGCCTTTCAGCAAGGATCTTAGTGACACGGATGGATGAATACTCAGAACTGTAGGGAATTTTTCATGATTTCTTAATTGAAAGATACAAGAAAATAACTTTCAGTGAATATTATGGGTTTAGCTAGTATTAGTGGTAGAATGTAGAATGTCTGACTTTTAATTTTGTAGTCATTTGATAAAGACGTACACCTATGTTGTTATTTGTGGCTTTCTTTATAAATGGAAGCCTAAAGTATAAAATTTGAGTGTTACTTGGAAGATGAATCTCATTGGAGGATTGGGCTTTGTTTTCTTTGCAGACATCTTAGTGAATAATAAAGCTTCTGGAAAGGGGAGATTTAGGATACATTATGTTGTAAAAGACTACTCTTAAAGGAAAATAGAATGGAAGTAATAAATGATTTTAAATTCATGTATATTAAATGTGATTGACTTATTTAGCAGATTTAGGGGGATGGTGGTGAAAAAAATCATTGGTTCTCTTAGGGACCGGAAAATTTATGTACTTGTATGTGGGCTGGCCTTCCGACTTATTTAGCAGATTTAGGGGGGATGGTGGTGAAAAAAATCATTGGTTCTCTTAGGGACCGGAAAATTTATGTACTTGTATGTGGGCTGGCCTTCCGACTTATTTAGCAGATTTAGGGGGATGGTGGTGAAAAAAATGATTGGTTCTCTTAGGGACCGGAAAATTTATGTACTTGTATGTGGGCTGGCCTTCCCTCCCTCCCTCCCCTCCTTTCTTACCTTCAGTCCCTTTCTCTCTCTCTCCTCTCTTCAAGACAAAAGAACCAGCACAGAGTTATAGGTTATCCTTATCTCATGAGACTATTGTAAGAATCTCTTAAGAGAGTGTCTATGAAAATGCTTTTTAAAGAGTAAAATGCTAGATTAGATACAACATTTATTATTAATTTTTTCTTTAAGTTAAAGACTCTGATGACAACCTGTCATTACATTCTGGTTAGATTTGCAGAGGAATTTGGACTACTACCTGTCTTTTGACTTAAGTTTTTTCCCCCTCTGGGGGAAAGGAGGGTACTTGGAGACATATATTTTAATGTAGTTGAACTGATGAGTGCCATGTTGCTGATAGCTCCGAAGTTTATGAACCAGGAGAATGATAAATTGTGTGTTTGATTTGAGAAACTGCTGGAAGCAAGTGAATGAACTAGAAAACTTGTCATCAACATATGTTAAATAGTCATTTTGTTATATTATGAAGAATAAAAAAAGCTAATGAATACTTAAAGGCATTATTCCTGTGATATTTTTAAGACCCTCCTGCAGCATTCAAGTATACAACAGATTTCCTGTGACTATAAACTAAGTGGTGTCTTTTTGATTTATGTTCTGATGGGCAGTTTTCAAAGACACATTCATCTCCAGAAATTATTTGAAGTTGCTAACTGTAAAGTGGCATATTTGACATGTTTCAGAAAGTCATTCTTGGTAGGCCGTCATTCTTAATAGAAGAAAATGTATACAACTTGCATATTTCTCTGTTTGTACTCTAAGCTGATAAGTTATTACTGGTTCATTCATTGACAAAGTAGCTTAGCTATCCAACACACGTATTCCTTTCTATATTATTTTTATTCACATTTTTAATGCTTGTTAATAGAACTAATAGGAGGTAGGAAGAATTTTCTCTTAAACTACTGCAAATTTTTATGCAGGGCAGCACAGCTCAGGGATGCTAGAGAATAGAAGTAGTGGCAGATGGTCCAACCTGATGCTCTGCAAAGATAGTGTGGTTCCTTTTGATTACAGACACTGACAGTCTGTGAAGTGAAGATATGAAGCCACATTCTACAGCATGCATTAACCATGTGTGTTGTGGTAGAGCCAGGAACAACTTTGTATGGGCATGGTAGAAGAGATGACTGCATGCACTATTAGTTTCCACACACTCACACATAGCAATACCATCAACATTATATATCTGAGTGCTAAGGCCAAGTGGTATATACATTGCCACACTGTTTTCTACTTTGAATTACAGTTGATGTACTCAGGGATGAAGCTAGGACATAATAGCAGGGAGCTGGATTTATACCTTCTCAATATCAAGAGAAGTGGAGATTTATTTTCTCCATTATTTGAACAGCTACCCGTAGATGGACCATACAGAATAGATTCTTTTAGAAATTTTTGTTTTTGGAATTATGGAGGCTGTATAAACAATAGTGAAAAAAAAGGCTAGGGAAAGCACAACTGTAGGAATATAAATTGGTAGAGCCCCTTGGAAGGAAGTTAGGTGATAATTATTAAACAAAAAACTGTGAATGACCTACTACTTACTAGAGAAAGATTTTATATATATATATATTTTTTTTTTTTCCTCCCCCTAAGGAGGCATGTACATAGTTTTTCATGGCAAGTGTTATATGAAGGGAAAAATGAGAAAAAGGCTAAATGTCCAACAATAAGTGAATGTGTCAATGATCTATAGTATTGTTACATATGGAATATTTAATACTATGCAACACATAAAGGAATGAGCTAGATTAGTATGTGATAAGAGTAAGGTGCATTGTGGTATATATTATTTGATACCACTACGAGCTTCTGCAGGTACGTCTTATAAAAGCATGAAAAAAGGTCTGAAAGGAGACAGACATTGATTATCTCTTGGGAAGGATAAGGGATCAAGAGCAGTGGGAAGAAGTGAGTAGGATTTGGTAATGGTGATGTCTTTAGATATTCATTGATGTATGTATTTTGTATACTTTTAATAATCTTTGGTTGTTAATTTATTACATTACAAACATGTTTTCATGTTTCTATGAAATCTTTTTTAAAAAATCATCTTTAATAATACTCTTAAATTATTTCTTTAAGTGAAATTCCAAGGAATGAACCATATGACCAAAGGATATGAACATATCCTGCTTATCTTAAGTATTGCCGTATTACTTTACAAAAGGATTTGACTAGTGTATAATGCTACAATCAGTGGTGAAGTACACTAACATCACCACAGCCTCATCGTTCAGATTTCCTTTTAAAAGCGTAACATAGAGATTAAGAGTGTGAACTCTGGAAACTGACTCCTTGGGTACAAATCCTGCCTCTGCCACTCAACTGTGTGACCTTGACTTTTGTGCTTCAGATTCCTCATCTGTAAAATGAGAGTAATAACTTTATCTACTCCGTAGGAAAGTTACAAGGATTATATGAAATAATATTCGTAAAAACCTAGAATAGTGTCTGACATGGAGTAAATGTTAGATAAAAAAATTTTTTTAATGTTAATTTGGAGGAGCTTCGAAACAAGACTGTTATCCAGTTTGTATCTTATCTGCCTTGTTTGATATTGTGTGATTATTTTGCTTCTAAGATTTGTAACTTTTTGTCTTTTGAAGCAAAAACATACCACGTAAGTGTTTAAATACGTAATTTTTGAGTAAAAGTACCTGTTTTAGTGATAAGGAAAAAGATGCATTTATCAAATGTAAGAGATTTTGAGTCATTTAATTTTCTGCCTTTGGGCAGGTAAATGTCTGAATGATACCTATTCCACAGCACTTTTGGAATTAACATACTGTATTTCCCACCTGGGTTTCACTGGAACCTGATTCCATATTGGATCTTAGGCTAAGGAAGGATGTGAGGAGGGAGATATATTTAGTGATGATAAACATCAGGTGCAAGCTAATGAAAAAACATTTTTATTGAGCCCTTACTTTCAGGTGCTGTGGTTCAGTAAAAAGTGAAAGACTGGGAATAGTAGAATTGACAAGACATTCATTTGATCATTTAAAAAAATCTAATCTTTATCCAAAAATTGACTGAACATTAGTAATATTTAAGGTTCTTTGATAGGTGTTGGGATACTGATTAATAAGACCATTTCTTTGTTCCCAGAGAGCAGAGGGGAGGTATATAATTAAGTCAACAATACAATGTAACTTACGTTATTTGGAAGTTGAAGCATTGAAAGTTTAATATTGAGTAAGTAGTGGTAAGGAAGGTCATTTTGTATGAGGGGCACTTAACTTTAGGTGATGGGGCATGGAAATCTTTAGAATATAATTCAAAAAAAGGTAAAGGAGTGACATTAAACCGAGTCTTGAAAGATGTTGGGCCAGTTTAAGTAATTGGAGTTAGTGGACAGAAGACAGTGCAAAGAAGATGACAGTGAGTATAATGTAGTTAGGGAATGAATGGTAAGTACAGTTGACCCTTAATCAACATGGGTTTGAACTATGCAGGTCCACTTCTGTGCAGATTTTTTTTCAGTAGTAAATTCATGTAGTA